CCCCGCCCCTTTTACCAAAAAGAAAAGAAAACATTCACTTCTTTATAAATAGTTTAAATACATATTTCATATTTCATACCAAGGATATAAAAATAGCCTTTTTTTTGGATAAATAAAGACATTTTCATTTACATGGCAAATGACGTGCAAAAGCTAGCCACCGGCCACCGACTCTATCCGACGATTGTCTAGCAGGGGACATGCAGTGATAATTGTCCCTTTGCCTTCACAAAAGGAAAAATAGATCAGCAGGTGATACGCCCTCCCGAGGCCAACAGTGCTATGGATATATTGTTCAGGAATGACAATCAGGCACTCAGGAAACAGCCTTTGCAGCATTTCACAAAAGCCACCCAGGACAAACCCTACTCCAAGTCCTTTGTCTCCGACTTCTAGCTGCTCAGACCCTCGGGGTCTGGGGAAGTTTACCAAAGTCTGTCAAACAGACCAGTGACTTAATACCTGTACAGGGGAAAAAAGTTTCTCTCATACTTCTAGGATCTAGAAATTGTTGGCTACAGTATGGAGGGGCTTCTGCCTCTCCCTGGCTCCTCACACTGTCTTCTGCTCAAGGGCCACCTTTGTCCGGTCCTCTTGCCTGCCAGAGGCAAAAAAAAAAGGCAAATGAAAGCCGTCATGCAGTGAGTGGGGGGCTTGGTCCAGCAGCTGGGTCACCTGCGCTGGTATCATACATTCATGGCTTTGCTCTCTTTCACGTCGGCTGTGCTGGTGACAATTTCCAGTGGGAAATTTTCCATGGGTTTGGCCGTGATGGAGGCCATTCCTTCCCGATCCCAAGATCCTGGCAAGTTTTCCAGGCTGAAGGAACTAACCGGTGCTTGGCCGAAGCCGCCCTCCTGGGATCTGCTGGGGGGGACCAGGTGCAGGGATGCCTCCGAGGAGGAGCACACGGAGGCCGAGCGCGAGAGCGTCGCCGAGATGGACTGTAGAGGCGACAGCGTGGAGTCTGAAGGGGGAGAGATGCACCTTAAAAACGGCCAGTGACCTTCGTGGGCCACCTGGTAGTGGGCAGGTGACTCCTCCAGGTCCGGGGAAGGAAAAAGTTCACTGGCTGTAGGAGTGTGCTCAGGAGCTCCAGTTCGCTGGGGGCTGCTCCCCACAGAGGAGGGACCCACGCGCCAAATGTCGGAGGTGACATTGTTTCCGGGACAAAGCGGTGCTTGGCTGTCAGCATCGGCGCCCGGCCGCCAGTGCAGGCGGGATTGGTGCGGCCCCCGGGCCGTCCTGGTCGGGAGGCTCTCCCTGGACGGGTCCAGCGAGGCCACGTGTGCAGCGCAAACTCTCGAGGGCAGCTGGGGTGACAGAACCCTTTCCAGAAGTTGTACCACGTTCCTCAGGTCTTTGCCTAACTGGGAGACCTTCTGGGTCAACGTTGTTACCTGTGCGGGGAAAGCAAAGCAAAAGACAGCAGATAAAGGTCGTGGCCAAGGCGGTGAGATTTCAGAACAGGGAAAATCAATCAGTCAACGGGAAGGTCCACAAAGCTGCTCCAAATCCAGCCGCACAGGCCCCTGATTGGGGAGACATCCTCATCTAAAGCCATTCTTATTCTGAGAGATACTGGAAAAAAAAAAAAGGATGCTTTGGAGTTGATTCTGACTCACGGAAAGCTCACGTGCTGCGGAGTAGAACTTAAACTCTGTGGAGTTTACAGTGACTGGGACTGGTCTGATGTGCACCATAAGGTGTTTCTTCTGAGGTGTCCCTAATTTTGGCAGCCCCAAACCAGTTTCACCAGAGACTCCTGAAATAAATGTATATATATAAAAAATCCCACCTCACCTCCATCAAATAGTTTTCAACTCATACTGGGCCCATATAGTATTTCCAAGATGAATTCTTTACAGGCGCAGACAGCTTTCTCAGGAGGAGAACGATGACTTTGCAGTTAGTGGACCAATGCTTCACCCACAGCACCCTGAAGGCCCCTGGGAGACATAATTAGTCTGGAGCTATCAATCCGTGGTGCCGACTAAAATTAGTGCTAGCTGTCCGTCATCTCTCACTCTCAAATGCCAATAGTTGTCCTTTGCTTCTGAAGCGCTGGGATGCACAGCTTGGTGTAAAACTCGCTCTGGAGATCTCAAAACAATGCCGGTGGTGGATTCTGGACCTACGACACTCAGCCAAGCACGTGCCTTGAGAACGCAAGTACATACCCAGAGAGCACCTGTAAATAGTAGCTCTTACGTCTGTCATACTCAGGCTGAGATCGATACAGAATGGAGGTGCAGGACAAACTGCCCTCCAGCGATTGTGAAATCTCACACCAGAATTGCTAGGGAAAGAGTTCACAGGCAAAGGAAACGAAACAAGAAAGCTGCCAAAATTTGGAAGGAAAGTAAAAGACTTGCCAGGTAGGGAAGTATAGATAAGCATTGTGTTCTGGGTGCAATCAGTGAACCCTGAACCCTCTATAGCCTGTGTGATCTGTGCTTGGTTCAAGTACCTAGCAAGACATTCAGCTTTCATCAGATTTTTAAGGGGGATGTGTGA